ATGACTCAACCGTTGAACCGCACAAATCTTTAATTGATTGAGAATTCTCATTTAATTTAAGTGAAAAAATTAATTTTCTAATATTTCTCGTTGAAATTTTTATACCGTCAGCTGCTGTAAAAAAAAAAAAAAAAAAAGTATAAACATGGGTGGAGCATTTTTCCAGTAGTCCTTTTTAAACGTGGAAAATTATTTTTATCATAAGTTAAATATACAATTTGTTGTAAACAACAACAACAACGTAAAATTAAATTTTCTAAAATGCTAAACCTTTTTTTTTTTTGTTTTTCCCAACTTTTTCCTCCTACGGTCCGGGTGCATTTTGATTTCTCGGACAAAATTTCTATAAAAAATTTTCACTGGAAAAACAAAAAAAAAAAAAAAAAGGAAACGTAAAAGGAAAAGAAAATTTTTTTTCCTTTCCTTTTTCCTTTTTCCGTTTAAATTCACCCTTAATTGTCTTTCGGGTTTTTCATTTTCCTTTTTTTTCTTTTTATTTGTGTCTACCTTTCTCTCTCTCTCTCTGTCTCTTTTTCTCTTGTTTTACAAACTATAGTCGTAGTTTATTCTACTTTGTAGATAAAAAAAAAATGAAAATTTGTATTACGCCAAGTGTTAAATATTTGCCATAGTTTAATAATTTAAACACTAGACATTGAATTGATGAAAAATTTGCTGTAGGCAATGTTTTTAAAAATTTAATAATTAATTTATCCAATCGTAGATTAAAACTAGATTTTCCCAACGGACATTTTTAAATTAATTCATTCAAAACAATTTGTTTTTAATTTTTTTAAATTTTTTTTTTTAACGACTGGAAGTTGTTTTTTATAAGACAACCAACCAATTGTACGGTATCGTTTAAAAAATTGTTTGTTTGATCAATAAATATTATTATTGATGTTGTTATCACAGTAATCAAAAATAAAACGATGAATTATTTTTTATAAATATTCACTTCACATGGAGAAAGAAAATTTTGTTTTAGAAAATAAATCTCGCGAGACTTTCTGGATAAAAACGTAAATTCCAGTAAATTTTTATTTTTTGGACTTACTCAATATGTAAGTGCGTGTGTGTGTTTGTTTGTTTGTTATTTGATTCTCTTTTTTCTTTTTTTTTATACTGTAAATAATAAGTCTCTGTTAAAAATGTTTTTAAATATATATTTATATGTAAAAAGAAGTGGAAGAAGAAGGAAAAAAAATTGTTAACACCAGGTTTTATGGTTTTCAATTACAAATATCCGGATTTCCGGTTAATGATTTTTTTTTTTTTCATTTTTAAACAAAAAAAAAAGAAAGAAAAATTGTTAACCTAATATTAAGTAATCGTGTCATTTTTATTATTATTATTATTACGTTACGTGTAATTTTTTTTTAAAGAAAAAAATCATTCGTAAAATTTATATTCGAGTATTATTTATTAATAATGATAATATTTAATAATAATAATAATAGCATTTCCTAATTTTAATCCAACAGAGAATGAATCTCTTTTTATGTGTAATAATGACATATTATTATTATTAGTTAAGTTTTGTTTTCAGTTACCAGGATGTTGCAATTAAGTAACAGGCGCAAGGTTGAAACGCTTTTAATATCCTGTTAACGGTCATTTTTTTTTTTTTTTTGTTTTTAAAAAATTTTTTCACTTTAAACATTTTCACTTTCGGCCATAATAATAATAAACATGGCTTTAACATATATTTACGATAGAATGAAACGTTTCTTTATTGATTTTTTTTTTTTTTTTGATATTTTTATTTGTGTGTATTTAAATTAAAGAACTTAAGAAAAAGTAGGAAAAGTAGAAAAGGACAAAACCTTGTAGTAGGAAATGCGTTGAGTCAGTTTCGTGTGCGAAAGCGTCATAAAAAAGTCCTGTCGAGATGAAAATTCTAGAATCTCGTGTTTTTTTCTAATATTCTACTACTACTAAGGGGGTAGGAATATTGTTAATAAAGCGCAGGCGCCCAAATTTTTTTTTTTTTTTTTTTTTTTTGGCTTTGGCTTTGGTTTGAAAGTGTTTAACTCCCTTTATTTTTTTTTTCTGGCTTTCTTTTTTTTTTGGTGGATTAAACGTATCAAATAACTCACTAAATATTTTATTAAACCTTATTTAAAATATGTCATTCTCATTGTTTCCATTGTTCGTTTTTTTTGTAGAAGAGTAAATATCCGTTTTTTTTTTTTAATTCTATAAGATTATCGCGGTGTGTACTCTCGTTGTATTATTTTTAAAGTTTATAATATTTTTAAATACGTTACTTAATATTATTATTATGATTGTTGTACATGTACAAAATGATTTTTGTTTTGGACATTTTTTTTTACAGATGGTAATGTTTTTCATTTAATGTTTTTCTTTTTTTTTCGTCTGCTGATTATTATTATTTTCAAATTTTCCGTAGTACGTCGTGTGTAATAAATGAGATAAAACTTTTTGTGCTTGATCTGTATCATCGATTTATATACAGACGTTTACAAAGATTCAGACGTGAATGAAAGTCTTTTACATTGTTTACTGTTATTCTCTGTTGTATATACACACACCATTTTTTTTTTTTTGTTGTGTTTACACCATGTGACTATGACATTTTTCTGATCTTTTTAGTTATATAGTATAAAGTAGTTATAGTTGGTCTTGTGTTTGGTTTTTTGTATTATTTATTTTTTTTAAAACCTTGTTAGATTACGTATTTATTACCCTTTAAAAGAAAAAAGTGAGTTTAATTACGTCGTGAAAAATATATTTTACCAAAAAAACAATAATAATATTAATTTTTTTATATATATTTTTTTTGTTTTCAGGTGTATCAATCAACATCACAGAAAAAATAAGAAGATATAATACAAGTTGAGTACAAATACAATACAAAAAAAAAATTAAACATAATAATAATAATTTTTTATAAGTATTTCTTTTTTTAAAAAACGTTTCGTAAAAAAAAATTTTTTTATAAAAATCAGAAAAATTTTATTCTTTTACTAATCTAATTATTTTATATATTTATATATTAAAAAAATAACAATAAGACTGATAGATTATTATTATTATATAAATATTTAAAAATAGTTAAACGATAAACCAAAAAAATAATATTCCAGTCATATATATATAAATCAGTAATAGATACATAAGTATATATATGTGTGCATAAATTTATATTTTCATACTAATCTACGGTATTAATAATGTTATAATCTTATATTTACAATTTTAAAAAGTGTTTTGTGTTTATAAAAATTATTTTTTCGATATTGAAAAATATTTTTAAGCATTTATACTAAAAAAAAAAAAAAAAAATCAGTGCGTTATATTATTGTTGTGATTTATTATTTATTTATATAATTCGCGTTAGTGTTATTAAATAAATTATTACAAAAAATAATAATAATAATAATCGTCCAAAACACAATTTCAAAAATTAAAAACATATTTTTTTACATAAATGTGTGCCTCACAAAAAAATTTTGTGCCATTAAATAAAACATGCTTCGGTTTTTTTTTTTATAAATAATTATTATATACACAATATTTTTGTACGGAAAAATTTAATTTTAACATTCTAGTCTACGCTAATAATAATAATAATATTTTAAACAAATCAAAAAAAAATGACTTTTAAACGTGTCTTAATATTACGCATCGTTTATTAATAATTGATTTAGTTTTTTTTTTTTTTTTTTTGTTATTATTAATAAAAAAAAGGTTTTGTGTTGTGTGAAAATTGTGAATGCAGTGATAATATATAAGTGAAAAATAAAAAAAAATCCCCCCCGAAAAAAAAAAAAAAAATTCATAATGAAACGAATTAAAACATGAGTGAGGGAGGGGGGAGTGCTGGGCCTGATATAGGCCCTAATTATCAAAACTCTGGTCCTACAAGTTATTCCAACCCTCCTAGTCAACCACCTACACCGAGTTCCACAGTACAAGATCCACCAAATTATCAAAACGCGTCGGAAATAAGTGAAAATTCAAATGAAACAAAATCAAATTTGAATAATATTCATACAAATTCGGTGGCAAGCGGATTACCACCGTTTAGTTCTTTTGCTTCTTCCGACGTGACTGAAGGTTTGGGAGGACGTTTAGCTGGAGATGGATATTTAACATCTGACGGGTTAACGTCATCAACAAGAGTTATGGAATTATCTGGTGAGTAAATCTTCTCTTCTTTTTTTTTTTAATAATTATTTTTCGAGGAGTTTAACACATTCGTGTAAATAATAGTAAATATTTATGGGGGGTGTTTGTTATAAAAATTTATTTTTGCGTTTACAAAAAAAAAAAATATTGGCATGCATAATTTTGAAAATATAACGCCAAAAATTTTTTATTTATTATTATTCACACGTGTATATCTATCTTTTTTTTTTGAATCTTAAAATTGAAAAAAAAAAACTATTATCACCAGTCAGTTGCAATCAGTTGGTGTCGGTTTCACAAAAGCAGAAAATTTTAAAAAATGTTTTGTGAACCTTGAAAGGCTTTTGTGTGTGTGTGTGTGTATAAAAAGTTTGCGCTGAAATGAAAATAAATATCTAGATTATTTGAAAAATGCATTAAAAATAAAAATTTGGGTTGTGTATTTTTTTCAAAGGACATTCGCTGTCATTTTAAAATTGTTAGAACCAGGTCACTTTTTTTTTTTATACCTGAGATCCATTGAATCTCTGATAGAATGTGTTGTTTTGAAAAAAAAAAAAAAAACTTCAAAGCATTGACCTTATCAAAACGGCAGGTAAACTTCGACTTATTTTTTCCTACCTTCAGAAATTTTTTTTTTTTCATGTTTTAATATTATTTCTTTGCCTTAAAAAAAAAAAAAAAAAATTATAATTCTCGTGTACTTTTTCTCAAATGTGTTGCCCTATTTTTTTTAAATTTAATATTATAATTTTTTCCAATAATGAAAAAATCTATTTTTTCCCTTTGCAAATTCGTCAGGATGGGATTATTGCTACACTGATGGTATAAGTGGAAGATATTTGGATAGGGATTCAATGCCAGTTATGATTCCGCAACCACAGTATAGACCCTGGGAAAGTAAGCAAGACGGTAAGTCAAAGAGCCTTTAAATAAACGTTATTTTTGGTTTAAATGTTGATAGTAACTGAAATCACCTTAAAAATTGTAGGCTCAGGAGACAGTATTAAATCAACGCTGCCATCCTTTCAGTCTCAATTCGGGGAAGAACTAGTCACAACATTAACAACACTCACGCCTGCTGCTTGTTCTCCAGCACCTTCAGTCCCTAGTCCTGGTTTACCCAGTTTTCACACTTTATCTGCGGTTAACCCTAGGTATCCACTTGTACCTGCTCCCGTTCAAGCCCGTGAAATACCATCTATTCAGCAGCAATTTTTAGACGAGCGTCACATTCATTTGTTTCAAGGGCCTCCGGGTCAAAATTTTACATTGCAACCTCAAAATGGCATAAATGGTCAAACTTTAACGAGTTTAAACAACGGGACGACGTTGACGACATTAAATAATGCTCAATATCATCCACAAATAATAAACAATGCACAAATCTTGCCTTCCGGACAAATTCTGACGCCTCAAAGTCATATTCTAACTCCTAGCTCACAAATAATCACAAGCAATGGTCACATAATAACCTCTTCAGGTGGTCAGGGACTTACGGTGGTCAGTCAAAATTCGACTCCCACCGTATTGACCGTTGTCAAAACGGAACCAGTAAATATAGTTGAACTTAAAACAAGTTCAAGTAAGTTTTGTCACTATTTTTTTTTTTTTTTAATAAATAACAGATAGTAGGTCAATTGCACATAATGTTGTACGCTAAAACTTTTAGCGGAACCTTCAAATTTAGCTCATCATCATCCGAATTTTCAAAATCCAATGATTACGCAAGGTCAGCAAATGGATTCGAAATTTGGTTTAGAAAGTCCACCCAGAGGCGTGGATGGGAGGAAAAAAGAACGTCGGAAAATTCGAGCGTCAAGTTTAGAAAGTTCCAATGAAAGTGATGGAGCCTTGAGCGTGGAATCTAGCGGCCAGGTAGCAGCAGTTTCAAGCACTGCCGGCTTTAAAAGTCCAATGACTCCAGGCCAAATGAACAACGAAGGTATTTTTTAATGTTGATAAAAAAACAAAAAATAAATTTTCGACATCGATACTTAAAAAAAAATTAAATTCGTTACAGACACCGGTGAAAAACAAACGAAGAAAAAGAGAAAAAGATGTGGAGAATGTATTGGCTGTCAAAGAAAAGATAATTGTGGAGATTGTGCTCCTTGCAGAAATGACAAAAGTCATCAGATTTGTAAGATGAGGCGGTGCGAAAAACTCACTGAAAAAAAGGTAGGACCTTTTATTTTATCCAAAACTAAATTTTTTTTTTCAGGCGCGAAAATAATTTTTTACTCAACGAAACTCTGGATAAAGTAATTAACTAAAAAAAATTTTTCCCAAACTGATTTTTTTACAAAAAAAAAAAAAAAATCTCGCCAGAATAGGAAAAAAAAAACTTCAAAAGTTCTATAACGTAATAGAAATAAAAAAAATCTGCAACAAATAATGATAATTTTATTTTTTAAGCAACACCACCAGGGGAAAAATCATAAAAATTTTACTTCGTTTATTGGTTTAAATATTGATTTTTTGAAAGAGAGAAAGAGAGAGGGGGGGAGAGAGAGAGAAAAAGAGAGAAATAAAAATTTTATTTGCCCACAACCTTTTTTGCCTTTTCTCGTAAAACAACTTCTAAGTCCGTTAAACGCGTATATAATGCCATTTTATTCAAGTCAGTAAAAAAAAAATTTTGTGATACAACATTCAATACTTTTTACACGTTGCCTTGAAATGAATAATCTGTTTCCGGTACTTTTCGTACCGACATTATTATTATTATTATAAATAAAAAAAAAAAACGTGAGCATGGTTGAGTAAATAAGTAATCCAGATAAATTACATATGCGTATTCTAATTACCTTTGAACTCTCGAAAATAATTTTTACGCATATAATATATATATTATTATTATTATTATTATTATTAAAATAAATAATTCGAATTATTTAAATTACTTAAAAGAATTTTTTAAAAAGCAGGTATCAAAAATAGTAAATTTTAGCATGCACCAATCGTGTATTAGCATATTTTTTTCGCTTTAAATTTAATTTTTTTTTATTACCGAGGGTAAAAAAAAATAAATTACCATAATTTTTTTGCTGATGTGGTATTATTGTAATGAACAAAAAAAAAAAAAAGTAACCTTTTTATTAAGTATTCATAAAATGCCATTTGAGAGAGAAATTTTTTTTTTTTTTTTATTAGGGGTTTTATGATTTTCTTTTTCTATGAATTAATTAAAAAAATAAAATCGAAAAAAAATTTTTTTTTACGGGTTTTCTTCTTAGTTAAAACGATTATAAAAAAAATTTTATAAATATGGCGTCTCGTAAAAAAAATATTCAATCGGATTGATTAAGGTAATTTTAAAAGAGAAAAAACCCCTTTCCTTAATATATATATATTTTTTGTCTTCATCCCTTCTTCGATTCTGGAGCAAGATTAAACACTTTGAGTTGGCACTGGGATTTGACCCCTGACACAAGTCTCACTAAGTCTGCAGACTTTGAATTTGCCCTCCTCCTCCTTCTTATTATTATTATTATTATTTTTTTTTTTTCTTCACTTCTTCTTGTGAAACGACTTTCTTTTCTTTTTTTCTTCTGAATGCAAGATGTGGCATTGTGTGTTTTCTATTATATTTATTCTTAAGGTAACCGCCCTTTTTGCAGCCTTTATCATTTTATACAAATTACCCCCCCATAATCAGTACCATTTCTCTCTCTCCTACGCCATCCTCCCTCCTGTTTTTAAGCACTTTTAAACGTTGAGAAATACAAACAGTGAAAGTTTTTTTTTTTTTTTTAAATCGTTTAATCTTTTAAAAAGTCAAACAAAAGCTTTAACCGTCATTTTTGTTATTATTGTAAATTATGAATAATTTAAAAAAAAAAATTTCTTTTATCGTTTGTAAAAGTTTTAAGAGTTGAAAGTTTGTAAAACAAACAGTTACACTATTACTTTCGTGATAATTTTAATTCAATTGCGAATGTTTTGCTTTTTTTTGAATTATTTTACAATTTTCATTGATGCTTTTCCAACGTATAAAAGGTTCGAGTGCACCTACGTGAACGTTATGCCCACGTGTTACTGAAAATTTTTTTTGGTTCCTTTTAAAATTTGGCGGTTAATTTTAAATTATTTAAAAAAATCTCACATTAACGTGAGAAGTATAATATATAAGCAGACGAAGAAAAAAAAAGTTTGAAATTTTATGCAACTTCTAAAATATCAGTTAAAAAAAAAAAAAAAAAATTCAGATTTAAAAATCCAGTTTTCATTCTATTGATCCAAAAATCACCCCATGTTGTTTCCTTGCATTAAAATAGTTTTTTCCTTTTTTTTTTTTTACATTCGGAATAAATTCTTTCGCTCATAATTGTCGCATCGGAAACCAAATTCATCTTAAAACTTTATCATTGATATTATAAAAAGGTTACGAACGAAAATGATTAGCAATTAACATAGATCGTTATTGCACTTATTAAATCTGCACATTGCAACCTGCACCCCTTATATACTTTTTCTACAGTTTTTATAAATTATATATTTATAAAAAGACCGAGATAAAATTTGGAAAAAAATTATCAGCTCTATTTTCTTAGAGTTTTTTTTTTCTTTTTTTCTTTTTTTTTTGCCTGCGGAATGTCGCTGTGTCAGCTAAAATTGATTTTCTCATATGATAAACATGAGCGTTTTATTTTAACGTATTCTTTCCGTTTTCCTATGACTCATAACAGAAAACAAAAAATAATTTATTTTTTTTTCCATCCAAAAGTTTTGAAGGTCATGATAGAATTTTTATTTTCTGGAACCTTACGCACGGGGAAAAATATCTAAAAAAAAAAAAAAAAATGTAAGCAATTTTCCAGAAATTTTTTTCCATTTCTTTTCTTTTTTTTGCTGAATAATCGTAACCCTCATTTTTTTTTTTTTTGAAATTACTCATGTTATACAAATATTATTCATACTTTTCTTTTTCCGGTTCCCTTAACATGAAAACTTATTACGTACGATCGAAAAATAAAAATTTTTATTAGCAAGTCAGAAAAAGTATTACTAATAATGAGGTATTACATGAAGAAAGAGAAAGAGAGTGAGTGGGTGCGTGCATGTGTGTGACAGTGACAATGCTAGTATTTCGGTCAAAATACGGAAACTTATGTGTTAGACTTAAAATGTCTAATTATAGCTTACTCGAAATATTTTTTTTTTTGTGTGTGTGCGTTTAGGTTATTAATAACATCTTTTTTTACATTTACTATACTTTTGTTCGTCGGAAACAAACAAACAAACAGACGATGAAAATACTGTGAAAATCTTGTAAAAAAAACAAAACGAATAAAATGATGGGCGAAACAACAACAACAAAAAACATGTTTTCTTTCGGTTTTTTTCCCGTTTATTTTGTTTTTAGGTAGTTTTAAATGTCCCACATTTATTTAAAACACAGTCTGTTGTGTGTATGTGTATGTGCGTATGTGTGTGTGTGTTGTGTTCCTGTGTGGACAAATTATCTCACGACTGCTAATCAAGTCCACTTCCTTCATTCATAGAGTTACTTTAATTTAGTGTGTACATCAGCGTTCATTAAGGTCTTTTCCTTTTGTTATTAACATTAAACGTTTAAAGGTTAAATTTGTTTATCATTCTGTCGTACGTACCCATTATTATTATTATTATTATTTAGCAAATTCTAAAAATTTTTATCCATTTTTTTTGGGGGAGGTGGTAATAATCGTATTTCTCTATCTTTCTCTCAAAATTTGTCGTGTATTGTTCATCTTTTCGTATCGTCTCTTCACCCTTTTTTTTTCTTGAAAAACCGATTCATCTTTTCTTTTAAACCGAAAATTATTATTATTATTATTATTATTATTATTATCATTATTTTATAAAGGTTAATTTTTTATTATTATTATTATTTATTAAAAGATTGAACGTTGAATTAAAATGTCAGATGTATGTGTACGTATATATCTTAAAGATCAATGAAACACTTTCCCTTTCGTTTTTATAGGAATGAAAATTACGACCCCACCTTACACATAAGGTACCATGTAGTAAAGGGGGAAACTCCCTCGGTTCTGATTGATACCTGGCAAGGCACGCGCCGGCGCTTCTTCCCTCAAAAGTTTTTTTTATTTTTTATTTTTCACCCTCGATGGAGAGAGAAAGAGAGAGATGATGGTGTGGTAAAAGAATTAAAAGTTTCGTTTTGAATACCTTGTTTTACAGGCATCCGTTTTTATTAAAAAAAAAAAAAAAAAAAACCTTTCTCTCTCTCCCCACCCCCAACACCTTTATAATACTACCATTAAAGTTAAATCCTTTTGCGGTATATATATTTTGTCATTAATTTTATGTAATGAGGGATATTTTTAAGTGAGAAGGATCCCTACCTACTAGAAAAAAATTTTTTTTTCCTACACGTATTCGTACACGTGTTATTTTTTTTTTTTTAGTTTTTGTTTTTTGTAAAAAAAAAGTCGTTTTGCTGGAGTAAAGATTACGTAAAAAGAAAAAAAACGTTTTCGATTCTAAATTTTGTTTTCTCTCTCTCTCTTTTATCGGATTCTGCGCGGTGAGATTAAAAAAAAAAAAAAAACATTTTACATTCACGTCGAAGTTTCGAGAATAAAAAACAAATTTTTATCGGTAATCATTATTTTATGACTTTTTTTTTCTAAACATTAAAAGATGCATAAAATCAAATTAAACCGAAAAGAAACGAAAAAAAATATAAAATTTTTTGGAGGAGGAAAACAAAAAAAAAAAAAAAAGAATGTTTTATTTTCGTTAAAAATAAACACGTGGAAATGTGGGAGCTTGAGAGCTGCGAGGAGCATGACAAGTTTTGTTAGGGGAGCCTGGGGAGCGCTGGAGGTTCTCAATGAACCAAGGGTTGAGTAGGGTAACGTTACTCCTCAAGGTCAAAGCTACGATGCTTCCTGCTTTGTCTCCCCAAGGCCCATTTTATTTCATTTTTCATTGTCCTCCATTTTCCTTTTATTTCCCCCTTTAAATCTTTTTCTTCCGTGAAAGTCAAGGTTATTGAATCGATCGATACTTTTCAATGTGTGAATCATCTTTTATTTTTTTTTTTTTTTCCACATCAGTTTTTCCAGTTAGTAAATTGAATTTTTGGCGGGAAAGAGGATAGTTTGTGCACTTAATTTAAAATTTCGTTTGTTTATTAAACTAAAAAAAATTTTTTTTCCTTTTTGCTGTCGTTAAGGGATTCCATCCGTTTACGTCGGTACTTTTTTTTTGTTTTGACACGAGCGAAAAATTAATAAAATAGAAAATTACGTTAA